CGGGGCCCCCCCGCCCGGTTTCCACCCAGCCCCCCCATCCACATCATTCCGGCGTCAGCTATCCATCCGGGGCCCTTTACTTTTCACCCGGTTCCTCACGCTCTTTATCCCACCCTCCTCGCCCCGAGACCTGCTGCCGCCGCGGCCGCCACGGCGTTGCATCTGCACCCTTTGCTGCACCCCATTTTCTCAGGACAGGACTTGCAGCATCCACCCAGTCACGGCACATGAAGGACAAAACGAAGTAACCTGAGCGGAAGGAGAATATTTTGCGTTTTGGGAAGGGGTTGAAGTTGATCCAGCTGGCAGGTGAGGCCGGAGAATTTCCTTTCACTCTTCAGCAGCCAAAGAAGCGGAAGGCTGGAGGGCAGCAGCAGGCGGCGGGTCGGTTTGCGAGCGTTGTGTAGATCCACCACCAGGGACGGTCCCGTGTCCCCACGCCTGCGTGCACGTAGCAGCGCTCTGTCCTGCAAGAACCGTTTCACGCGTAGCCCGGCCAGGCGCTTGGAAGGGCGTTGTGTTCCCTGGGTTCGTACACTTGGTCGTCTGCCTTCTGCCACCTTGTATATGATAAATGAGATTTCACACACACTAATAGGTCTCTCAAAATCCTTTTAATGAGGTCGTCTAATTAAAATGGTCAGCATGATTGGATCTGGCTCGCAATCAGTGATGAAGCGTTCGGTAACTGACAGCTGGGGCTCCTGGCGAGGAGGGCGATGGAAGGGCGGTACCACTCTTGGTTTGGCTGGGCCAGTACCAGTTTTCAGGCATTACAGGAGATTTCTTGGCACCCTACCGCTGCATATTTGGGGATTTTTATCTTGGTGGGAGCAGCGAAGGTGGAAGCAAGGTCTGATCTTAGAGCTGAAGCGAGGAGCCGCGCGTGTGCTCCGAGCTCCGACCCCTGTCCATCCTGCATTAGCGTTCTCCTGTGCGAGGCCTGCGCCCACGGGGCACCCTGCACTGGAGACACGCCCTCGGTTCGCTGCGTGGGGTCAGTCTGGGCTTTGGCTGCTCAAAAAATGTCACTCTGGCTCCCATCTGTTGTGGTGTTGGCAAAGAGGCGCTGGGATGCGAGAGAAGGAAAATCCCTTTAGGAGTTGAAGCAATACAGAGGACGGGGAGAGCGGCCGGGGTGTGTGAAGTGTCTTCTTCCCTCTGTGATACTGATGGTTTCCTTATTAATTTATGGGAGTTTTTTTTTAATGGAAAGAATTGCACTGAACTCTGTAAACAAAGATGCTGCTTTTTGTAGCTCATATAAAAAGGTTACATTTGTAGTATACTGCAATAATATTTTTTACGGCCCGTTCTTTCAGTGGTACTCGTCCTGGTGGCTTTTGTGTAAATATGTTTGCTGTAGGTGAAATGAGACCCTTGTAAAGCTTCCACTTTCTAGTTCCAGCTAGATGCAAAGCGACGAAGCATGTATATTTTACCAAGCTCATGTATTTTTGAAGTTTTTATGTACTATAACATGTAAAATAAGCCAACTTCCTTTAGCATTTTGCAGATGGGAAGGAATGTGAGCCTTGGCCCAGGCGAGGTGCGTGGCCCACAGCGGTGACAGCCCACGGCGTGGCGGGGGAAGCAGCTGGGCGCGCTCC